TCTCGTCTTTATAAACGACTTAACTAGAGAACGGTAGAACGATTGGCAGATGGCATTCCATCCACATAAATGTACCACCATACACGTCTGCAAGAAACACAACCTCATCAACACATGATCAAGTTCGACTACCATCTTCATGGTCATACCCTTAAAAGCGTCCCAGGTGGGAAATATCTTGGCGCTTACATCAGCAAGGACCTGTCGTGGCGAGAGCAAATTAACCAGACGAGACCGAAAGCCACCAGATCAGTTTGATTTCTGCGCAGGAATTGTCCCCAGGATGTGAATAGCCAGGCTTACACAACTTTAGTCAGGCCTGTCCTGGAGTGTGCCAGCTCTGTCTGGGATCACTACCAGCAACAACAAATCCAGCAATTAGAAAATATACATCGCCAGGCTGCACGATTCGTCACTGGGGATTACTTTACAAGGGACCCAGACTGTGTCACGAACATGATATAACAACTAGGTTGGGAACCACTGGAACAAGATACAAGATATTTTATTAACCAAAATTTGAGCTATACAATCAAATGAATCACAGTAAATGATTGAAATGATTAGAATGCTTACAGTACATAAGATATGACAGTTGTTTTCCATTCGTTAGATGTGTTTGAGCTTTTGATTTTGCCATTTTATAAAGGACTTTCCGTTTTGAATTTCACTTGGAGTTCGGTATTTTTGTTATTTTTCTTTTTTTTAAACAAAAACATGTATACACATTTAAACAAAGTAACATAATTATAAACAATGTCATTGACAAAACATTAAGTCATTTTGGAAGCCACTGTGACCTGGAGAAATTACATTTCTTAATCAATTTATAGACCTAGGCCTATGGGAGACAACTCCTGATCGATTTTTTTTATTTTTCTATTTTTTCACACTAAATTGATATTTTCTAGCAGTTTCTTTCGTTCTTCAAACAGGAGTGCAATAATTTAGACTAAGTTTGAAGTAACAAACAAATCTTCAGATGAAAGAATCCAAACAAATTTCATTTCATTAGATAACTTTGAACAATTTTTGAATTTAGAATTTTAGTTAGACAGATGTTGAGATCTTGTATCTTTTAGAACAGGACATTTTAAAAGAAAATGTTGTTCATCTTCAACTGCGTTCTTACATAGCTTACACTTTCTGTCTTCAGCTTTTATACTAATATACCTCCCTCTTTCAATTTCAAGGTCATGACAGCTAGTTCTGAATCTTGTAATTATTTGCCTGTCTTTTTTTTTTAATTTATTGTTGAATATGGTTCAAACATAAAAATATTTTTAAATTTTCTGTAAGTTCTTAATGTATTGCCCCACCGTATATTGGTACTCTTCCCAGAATTGCTTTCTAAATTAGCTACCCAAATTTATTTAAATTTTATTGTTAGATAATTTTTTACTTTTTTAATATATTGTTTTGTTTAAAGTTTGACTGGTTTACAAATAGATAGTCTAAATCTAGGAATTTAAATATATGTTTAATGTTTCCTATCCAAGATTCCTGGTTAGATTTGTTAATAGAATGGGATAGATTTATGGCCTCTCATAGAATAATATTTGAAGGTTCAATTTCTTTCATAAGATGAATCCAATATTTTATCATATTCATAACTACATAATAAAGTGTAGGGAGTGAGCCTAGTTCCCCTCTACATGCCATATTTGATGTTTTTATATTAACTCCAAGTGAAAATTTACAAAGCTGAGTTTGAATTTTCTCTAGAACAAAATAATCAGTTTCTTTTGATATAAAGTTATCCATATGTTTTTGTTTCTTATGTGGTATATAACCCCAAATTTCAGATCCATACAACAAGATGGGTCGGATAGTATGGTTATAAATATGTAATAAAGTACTAGGTTTTGGGCTTTCCACTTAAAAGGTCTTCCTTAATTTGAAATAAGCTCCTTTATAATAAAGTTCTTTCTTTGCCTTTTGGAAGCTCCCAGATGCTAAAAAAATGTATTCCTAAGTATGTGTAGTTCTGTACACATTCTAAAATCTGGTTTCCTAAGGATATTTTAATATTTTTATGTCGTCCTGATTTGTTAAATACAAGAACCTTGGTCTTTTTGGTGTTAACTGTCATTTTACAATCTGGTTTCTGTGTTTCCATACATACATTTTATAATGTCATAAAACCATGTTCCAACAGCTATACATTTAAGTTTATAAAAAAGGTGGAGATGTGAAACTGAATCAAATGCACGCTTAAAATCTACAAAGCATGCATACAGAGGCCTAGAATTATTTTTCACAAATACTTGAATGATGGTATTTAACACAAACATATGGTCTGTTGTGCGACATCCTCTAGTAAAACCAATTTGCTCACTTCTAATTATATCTATAGATTTTAAAAATTTTATCAACCTGTTATTTAAAATCAGATTAAATAACTTGCCTATGTTATCTGCAATGGTTATGCCCCTGTAGTTTGCTGGATCATGTTTAGAGCCAGAACATAGGAGAGCCAGAAAAACAGTTGTAATGTTCTACAAAATTGTGAACAGTGTTATAGAAGTTACTGTTCCGACACCACCTGCTCCATTTCCACAACACTAGGACCCGTGGTTCAATTTCAAACATAAGAAGCAAACTGGACTGTTTCAAGTATTCATTTATATCTGCCACCATGATATCTTGGAATACCATACCTCCAGATATTCGAGCTTCCCCGTCAGTGGAACATTTTCGACACGCTATTCAAGCTGCCAGCGTGTCGGCACTACTCCACAACTAATTTAGACCATCTTACATTTTAATTGTATATACAGATTTCATTCTAACTGTACATACTTGGAAGTTGTTTGCTGTTCATCACGCTGGAGTTTCTACACTCAAAATGAGTCCACTCCTCGACGGGAAGATAGATAGATAGATAGAGGTTATAGGCAGAAACAACTAAATTTAGAAAGAAAAAAAATACGTCATTTACGGGCAATAACTCCTCCAGGAGTCATCTGATTATTTCGTAAATATAGAAAGTATGTAAATCTTAACATTCTGAAAATCTTTGCTTGTCAGATTTTCTCTATCTATTATGGTTTTTAAGATTTAAGACAATTACAAAATAGCTACATTTTACTATTATGTTCTACTTTTAGCCATGGCAGCCATGTTTATTGACTGACCAAATAAAATAAAAACTTTATATACTTGATACCTTGATAATCATTCACTCCAAGTTTTGGTGAAATTTGTCATGTAGTTTTAGTTTCTTCGAAAAGTTTACGGCAGACATCGACCACCGAACGACGGACGCCTTGAATGATGACAAAAACTCACACTGCCTTTTGACATTTAAATAGCCAGATTAACTAAAAAGTTCAAAACGAGGTATTTTTTATTGTTCTTATATAACATTTTATAAGAATTCAGTGTAAAGACCCGTTTATACTGTTACTGCAATGATAAGTTATTAAAATTGAAATATTGGCAATTATATATATATATACACATTGCTGAACAATAAGCCACAATAAAGAATACTTTCATTATCATTTCGAGAAGAAAATAGTCCGCTAAAAACATATAATTTTATGTTATTCTCAAACAAATCCTTTACTGTGACCAGTATGTTTAAACATACACACATACACACACATATATATTATATCAGTGGCGGACCCAGGGGTGAAAAGCGTACGCCTCCTTTTTGATCGCAAAAAAAATCTCATCTTCCCACAGGTTATATGATTTTTAGCACGAAATTGTAAAAAAAAAATGTCCACTTCGCTCATCTCGGTAGTATAAATATTTTTATTCTGAAATTACGACCCCTTTCAAAAATCCTGGCTCTGCCCCTAAATATAGTTATAACTATATCAGCACTATATTTTGTTATTTTTAGTTTTATTTATATAATTTATTTTCTTTTACTAATTAATTTAATTCATTGTCCCAATTATTTTCCAATAGAATCAAATTGTTTTTCGATATTCGACCTTTAAAAATCTTTTATTTTGTTTTTGTCCAGACATTTAATTTAGCTTTCAATTTTCAATTTGGCTTATCGCACACACCCCTTGAAGTCTTTAAGTTTAATATTCATTTGATTTTTAAGAAAACTCCACATTTTAATTTTTCCTGCGTTATTTATAAACGTGGAATCATAATATGCTTGTTAGACTGGCAACTACATAAACATGTGCTCACTTACATACATTCAAATCGAGTAACTTGATGGATGGATTGGAGAAGTTTTACGTCTTTTTGCAAATATTACACCGATTTATATCAAAGACGATACGAATCCACAATCTCCCGCATACGAGGCGGACTTTTTTTTATTTTTAATCGGGAGCTTACTACCACAGAAGCAGCAACGGTAATGAGTTACTGGCACATAAATTATATGTACGAAACGACGGGGATTCAGGGTTGGGCGTAGAGGGCGAACATCCCCTTCTGATAAAAAAATATTGTTTGGCATAAGATCGTCCAATTTTTTTTTTCGCTTCGCTCCGCTCGGTGCTCTTTATTTCCTTTTCTGAAATAACGCCCACCTTTTTGAAAATCCGAGATTTGGTCAATGATTACAATTATTTTAATGTCATATTATATTCTTTGTAAAACACTCAAAACGGGAAAGGGGAGAACACCAGAAATCACGAAACACTTTTTTCTCTTGTGAGTAGGCTCTCTCGAAAAACGAGAAATGACCGCATCCGCCGTGCCAACTTTGTGAGATATGGAAGGTAATTAACAATCTCCACGTATAACCTTTCCAAAAGACAAAAAAATAAGAAAAAAAAATTAAACTGAAAAGAAAACAAGAGAAAAAAAATAAAAGAACAAAATAAGAGAGAAAATTTAAAAAATTAAAATTAAAGAAGAATTAAAAATGATCAGTTGGACTTCCCGGTTCTCAGTTGTCATCATAGTTTTCGAGTGACAAGTACATTTACAATCTTTGCTTGATTGAAAATAATCTGAAGACAGGTTTTAGTCCGTTAAACTGAATTTTCTTACTTCCCCTTTCTTTATTGATTTTTCGTGTGTTGCTGATACATCAATGACATCAATGTATATATGTGTGTACCGTATATGTAAACAAGATAGGAGCGTTACACGTGAGTTACATGTAAATAAATAAATATATATAGATATGTATTGTATCGAAATAGTTGTATACTGCGGAGAAATTTAATAAATATTCTGCATATTATTTAGTATTTTGCACAGGCGCTTAATTGGGGGCACAGACCCCCTTTTTTTCTAAATATTGTGTGTGTGTGTTTTTTTTTTATATGACGCCCTAGCTATTCTTGGAAAATTAGCGTATTAGAGGCATACAGTCCTATATACACTACTGATGGTAATATCGTATGGATAAGAGCAAGAACAAATTAAATAAATAAATTAAAGATGAAATATTAAACAGAATATTTTAACAAAAAAATAATAGATTAAAGGATGTCCATTCCCAAATTAGCGCCTGTGATAAATCGTTGCTCTAAGACTTCTATAACGAAACCAACACTATATATGTATGTGTGTGCATGTGTTGTTGTAGTATCGACCAAATATTTGCACTATCGTACAGTTTCCAACACGACACCCTTTGAAATCTTATTAAGAAATGTGATTTTTTTTTAATTAATTTATTGGATCAAATATCAACATCAACATGTGTTTATTATAAAAGAAATAAATTATATGTTCACAAAAATTAATCTGCTTTTATCTTAATATAAACGGACAATTTAAGAAAGGCTTGTTATAAATCATGTCAGTATCGAAGTTATGACTACTCAGTGGCGGATCCAGAGGGGGGCGTAGAGGGCGTACGCCCCCCCCCCCCCCCCCCCCCTTTTGCTTGAACTTTTTTTTTTTTTTTTTTTTGTAAAATGATGAATCAGACTTGACTTCGTGAACTTTGCCATTTCCTGGTCGTGTATTTAATTTTAAAGCGACAATTCTTTACTTATAAAGATATTTACTGTAATATATTATTGATTATGTCAGTCATGTGTTTCGCTACGGTGGAGTTGATCAGTACGTTTGAAACGTCACTCAGTCATTTTGAAATTCAAATAACAGTAACACATTGCTTAGGCGGAGGATGACAAGCATGACGCCTTCAAAGCGACAAAGGATTGAGCAAGAACGTATTGACTTCTATTTCATATTTCCACTCAACAGAAAGTAATACTCTATTACACTCTCATGAAAAAAAAAGTTCCACGGCAATATTATTTACCTACAAAAATATGTTTAACCCCACACGCCCCAGCCAATTAATAACATTGCTGAATAATGATCCCCAGTCAGTAAGCTCTAGATATGTTTAAAGTCTAAGGTACGGACCATTTGATTTGATAGGGCAGTCTGAGATATTTTAGAGAAAAAATTCTGACCCTGATTTTTGCCTTAAACAAAAATTCTGGCCGTATCTGTAATGAAAACAATTATCGTGTCCCCTTTTTGCTATAAGAAAAAAAAATCCAACAGAATTATTCAGCATTAAATGAACATGGTGAATAAAAAACGGGCGTAATTTTTTTTTGAGGGGTTTGCATGTAAATCCCATATCTGACCGGAATGTCTGTTTCGCCGAACTGATATACTGAATACTTTTTTCAAGACCCAACTGCAACCTGCCTGCTGGGTGTGGCCTTTATGTCTCCATTTGTCGACCGTCATTCACAACTTCGTTGTCATTTGATGAAGATTAAAAACATATTTGAAGATTAAAAACATATTTTGAAGATATATACCATGAGAAAAAAACCTAGCGAAAGGGAAGACCCCTTAGACCCCTCCCGCTTCGTACATTCGTAAATACATTTAACATTATCGACACAAAGTTACTTATTTAGGATACATCAATGGTAACATACTTATTTAGGATACATCAATGGTAACATACTTATTTAGGATACATCAATGGTAACATACTTGTTTAGGATACATCAGTGGTAACATACTTATTTAGGATACATCAATGGTAACATACTTATTTAGGATACATCAATGGTAACATACATCAATAGTAACATACTTATTTAGGATACATCAATGGTAACATACTTATTTAGGATACATCAATGGTATACTTGTTTAGGATACATCAATGGTAACATACTTGTTTAGGATACATCAATGGTAACATACTTATTTAGGATACATCAATGGTAACATACTTGTTTAGGATACATCAATGGTAACATACTTATTTAGGATACATCAATGGTAACATACTTGTTTAGGATACATCAATGGTAACATACTTGTTTAGGATACATCAATGGTCACATACTTGTTTAGGATACATCAATGGTAACATACTTGTTTAGGATACATCAATGGTAACAAACTTGTTTAGGATACATCAATGGTAACATACTTGTTTAGGATACATCAATGGTAACATACTTGTTTAGGATACATCAATGGTAACATACTTATTTAGGATACATCAGTGGTAGCATACTTGTTTAGGATACATCAATGGTAACATACTTATTTAGGATACATCAATGGTAACATACTTATTTAGGATACATCAATGGTAGCATACTTGTTTAGGATACATCAATGGTAACAAACTTGTTTAGGATACATCAATGGTAACATACTTGTTTAGGATACATCAATGGTAACATACTGGATTAGGATACATCAATGGTAACATACTTGTTTAGGATACATCAATGGTAACATACTTGTTTAGGATACATCAATGGTAACATACTTGTTTAGGATACATCAATGGTAACATACTTGTTTAGGATACATCAATGGTAACATACTTGTTTAGGATACATCAATGGTAACATACTTATTTAGGATACATCAATGGTAACATACTTGTTTAGGATACATCAATGGTAACTAGGATACATCAATGGTAACATACTTATTTAGGATACATCAATGGTAACATATTTGTTTAGGATACATCAATGGTAACATACTTATTTAGGATACATCAATGGTAACATACTTGTTTAGGATACATCAATGGTAACTAGGATACATCAATGGTAACATACTTATTTAGGATACATCAATGGTAACATATTTGTTTAGGATACATCAATGGTAACATACTTATTTAGGATACATCAATGGTAACATACTTGTTTAGGATACATCAATGGTAACATACTTATTTAGGATACATCAATGGTAACATACTTGTTTAGGATACATCAATGGTAACATACTTGTTTAGGATACATCAATGGTAACATACTTGTTTAGGATACATCAATGGTAACATACTTGTTTAGGATACATCAATGGTAACATACTTGTTTAGGATACATCAATGGTAACATACTTATTTAGGATACATCAATGGTAACATACTTATTTAGGATACATCAATGGTAACATACTTGTTTAGGATACATCAATGGTAACATACTTGTTTAGGATACATCAATGGTAACATACTTGTTTAGGATACATCAATGGTAACATACTTGTTTAGGATACATCAATGGTAACATACTTATTTAGGATACATCAATGGTAACATACTTGTTTAGGATACATCAATGGTAACATACTTGTTTAGGATACATCAATGGTAACATACTTGTTTAGGATACATCAATGGTAACATACTTGTTTAGGATACATCAATGGTAACATACTTATTTAGGATACATCAATGGTAACATACTTATTTAGGATACATCAATGGTAACATACTTGTTTAGGATACATCAATGGTAACATACTTGTTTAGGATACATCAATGGTAACATACTTGTTTAGGATACATCAATGGTCACATACTTATTTAGGATACATCAGTGGTCACATACTTGTTTAGGATACATCAATGGTCACATACTTATTTAGGATACATCAATGGTCACATACTTGTTTAGGATACATCAATGGTAACATACTTGTTTAGGATACATCAATGGTAACATACTTATTTAGGATACATCAATGGTAACATACTTATTTAGGATACATCAATGGTAACATACTTGTTTAGGATACATCAATGGTAACATACTTGTTTAGGATACATCAATGGTAGCATACTTGTTTAGGATACATCAATGGTAACATGCTTATTTAGGATACATCAATGGTAACATACTTATTTAGGATACATCAATGGTAACATACTTGTTTAGGATACATCAATGGTAACATACTTATTTAGGATACATCAATGGTAACATACTTATTTAGGATACATCAATGGTAACATACTTATTTAGGATACATCAATGGTAACATACATCAATAGTAACATACTTATTTAGGATACATCAATGGTAACATACTTATTTAGGATACATCAATGGTATACTTGTTTAGGATACATCAATGGTAACATACTTGTTTAGGATACATCAATGGTAACATACTTATTTAGGATACATCAATGGTAACATACTTGTTTAGGATACATCAATGGTAACATACTTGTTTAGGATACATCAATGGTAACATACTTATTTAGGATACATCAATGGTAACATACTTGTTTAGGATACATCAATGGTCACATACTTGTTTAGGATACATCAATGGTCACATACTTGTTTAGGATACATCAATGGTAACATACTTGTTTAGGATACATCAATGGTAACAAACTTGTTTAGGATACATCAATGGTAACATACTTGTTTAGGATACATCAATGGTAACATACTTGTTTAGGATACATTAATGGTAACATACTTATTTAGGATACATCAGTGGTAGCATACTTGTTTAGGATACATCAATGGTAACATACTTATTTAGGATACATCAATGGTAACATACTTATTTAGGATACATCAATGGTAACATACTTATTTAGGATACATCAATGGTAGCATACTTGTTTAGGATACATCAATGGTAACAAACTTGTTTAGGATACATCAATGGTAACATACTTGTTTAGGATACATCAATGGTAACATACTTGTTTAGGATACATCAATGGTAACATACTTGTTTAGGATACATCAATGGTAACATACTTGTTTAGGATACATCAATGGTAACATACTTGTTTAGGATACATCAATGGTAACATACTTGTTTAGGATACATCAATGGTAACATACTTGTTTAGGATACATCAATGGTCACATACTTGTTTAGGATACA